CCAAGCTAATATACTTTCCAGGGGGCTCAGAAGCCCTAGTGGGTTGTTACTGCATTGCACTGCAGTACTTTTCATTGGTTTTCAATGTATGCATATTAGACCGAAGTGTTTGCGAGACGTTTTGCTGCTTTATGCAGCATCTCATGCATGAGTGTTTGTTTTAAAAAAGTTTAGATATAAAAACTCATCTCAAGACCTTGCATTTTCCAGGAGTGACACCGCATTTAGCTTCAGTGTGTGTGCATCTATTCAGTGCCCAAAGTGTACCAGTAGAGGCTTTGTCAAGCTTCCTTCGTGGTTCCACTAATGTTTACACTAACTTAATACTCTTGCCTTTACTTGCTGCAGTGCATGCTATAGACAGTATTCAGGAAGTTTTAGTTACAATAACTTTTTTTTCATGAGACAGTCTAATCTCTGCAGCAAACGGTCTAATCTGTTTTCTCAGAGCTTCTCACCACGAGCTGATGCCAGCAGCAGCCTATTATCTCATTACAGTGTGACAGACATTGTGTGTGCTTCACTAATCTTCCCTTTTGAGTTGGTGCATTATTCTATTTTGCAAATGTGTAGTTGTGTCGTTAGTGTATGTTTTGTGTGTATATGTATACCTGTGATGGTTTTGTACTGTTTGGGTTGTGTCAGGGTCAATCCAAACTGATAAAATGCTGAGGTCTTCAAGGGTCTCGATTTAAACTCTTCCATGGAGATGGGAGTGGTAAGTAGTTGCCAGGTCTGGTCATCAGGGAAATGTGAGTTTATGAACTCACTAGGTTCAGTCAGGAAATAAAAGTCATCATACCTGAAACACACAGACATCGCTACTTATTTTCCTAGTCTTTAGTGTGGAATATTACACTGGTTTTTCGTTTTCAAAGACTGCAGTATGAGTTCCAATTTCTCTGAAGACTGTAAATTTGCATCTGCTAAACCAAAACAACCAGATCCAAGATGAATCGCATAACAAACTTTGATTTTGAGTGAACTATAATCCCATGAAGCGTTGCAAATGATGTAACCAAATGAAACGTGATTGTACAATATTGATTTATAGTCATGATTTAGAAGTAACAATACATTTTCAGTTTATTGCTAAATATTCATAAATAATAGTGTAGTAGGGAGACTGAGTTGACTCAGTCACAATGCTTCATTGGCAGTTGATTGGCGGTTGTCTTAATTTGCTGTCTTAATTTGTTTTTCCACAACTCTTTCATTCTTGGATATTGGTAGTGTAATTCCTCAGTGGCTAATAAACATGATTTATTAAATTATGCTAACTGATGGATTCAACAGATACATATCCAGTCAGTTAATAACATTAGAAGCAATTAAATACAAAAACAATTTCTCTACAATGGATGAATGAATGCATGGAATTTATTTTCTCCCAGAAACCCAACACTTGCATGCTGTAGAATATATTGGGTTTGTTGTAGTATGTAAAAACTACTCATGATTTGTCTGTATATACTGTAGTCTGCAGTATGTGTGTACTGTATGATATGAATAACTGACACTCTGAGGAGCCTGACCTCTTCACAAATGTTTTGCTTTTCATATCCACAGTGCCAGCGCCCCAGCAAGCGTCAAGTAGCCACCACTGACCCCCCACGAAGACAGCATTCCACTCATGATCGGAACGCTTCTCAGCTAAACTGTGCGCGGCCTGGTATCCAACGCCTTTGCTGTACCCGCTCACCTCCACACACTCAATGCCCACCTCCCTAGAGAAAGAGAGAAAGTTCAGAGCCGCATTCTACTGGCATGATGTGTGTATTTATATACTTGTGGCCATTTACCTGCACATTTCCACACAGAGGCCTGAGTATCCACTACATACACCCTTTCCTGTCCTGATGACCTCATCAAAAGAGCAAATCTTCTGGGAAAGACCAAGGTACCCCTCCAAGTCATACTCTTCGCACACAAACACATAAGACATTTTACTTGAGGAAGTAGACTCACTAAATATTTAAACATGCTTTGACTCACTAAAAGAATTGTGTAGAAAGAGTTTTCACTCAAAAATAGCTAGTAAATTTCACAAACAACTACAAAAAACTTTGAAAAACATGAAATTGTCTTGTAAAACATAGTCCAATACTTCTTTTATTTACAACTTAGAAAAATCCTTTTTAACAGTGCATGCATTTTTGCATGTGCAATTACCAATATTTTGGCATAGCCAGATCCATATGGCCCTGAGTTTTTCCAGATCATTTCTGCCCCCCTCAGTGATACCACGAGCAATCTTCTGAGCATCAAATACTTCCTGCTCCCTCAACTGAAAAACACATGTTCAATCATGACAACTCTCGGAAGATTTAACATGGTGATGGATATGACAATGTTAATGTATTTGCCTAAATCTATTGTTTATAACAGGGATATCCAATCCTGCTCTTGGAGGGCCACTGTCCTGCAGAGTTTAGCTCCAATCCCAATTAAACACACCTGAACCAATGTAGTCAATGTCTAAAATCACTAGAATCTTCCAGGCAGGTATTTTGTGACAAGTAGGAGCCAAACTCTGCAGGACGTTGGTCCTCCAGGATCATGACTGGACACTCCTGTCTTGTAAAAATATAAAAACAAAGACTTGTGTGTTTGTGTGTTGTCTGTTACCTCTCTTCCTTTCTGGATTGAGAATGTGTCTACTTTGCTGAAAATATCTGTGCTTGAGAACAGCAATTTTCTGGGTTTCCTCTGAGAGGTGTAGACTGCAGGTAGATAAGGTCTCCCAGACTGCGTGCCAGGGCTGGCGACTGAGAGGGGTTTCACAATTTCTTCTTGGCTCTTTTTCACAGTGCTCCTCTTTCTTACACTCACTGACTTCGCCGCACTCTCAGCGGACAGTTGGCGCTTTGTACTCGGCCGTTGTTCCTCACATAACTTCCCTTCATAGTTCTCTAACAATACCTTATGTGAAACCACATTTTCTTGAATTGGTACAATGGATAATGGCTTTGGGTCATTTTGCTCCACTGAAGGTGAACCTCCTCGGTGGCTCTTAATAGTCAAACAGACTTTAGCGCTGTTCTCATCCTTCATGCTGGTCTGTTGGCTTTCAGATACATTCTGAAGTATGTATTTGACCACCCCTTTTTCGATTTTCAAATCAAAGTTTTGTTTATGTGTGTCACTGTTTAAATCTGTGACAGTTTCTTCTGGTTGGCACCCTCGGTTGCTGTTTTCTGTCGTGATTGGTTGTTGATCAGTTTGAGCTTGATCAGATGAGAGGAAAAGAGAACATCTGAACTAAAATTTACATCATCCTGCTTGTTATATCACTTTCAACTAACATCTGATGACATAGTTCATACTATCTCTTCTTAGTTTCAAAACACTTCAAAATACATTTAAAATGCAATTAGTTGGAAAATCTTACCTTTCGCAGTTGTGAAACTCATACCTTCTGTCACTTCTAGTATTGATGGTAGTAGCAGATTTATATAATGTCTTGATTTCTATTGCAGGGGTCTGTATATATCTATTTTCTCCCTGTGTCCACCCCTATGAAAGGATAGCATGCTAAAAATACACTTGGACTTATCATGACAGCCAATGAGCTCAAAGATACAAGAGAGGGGGGCAAAAGAAGGGCATTTGATATTGGCACAGAGGGTGAAGAAGGTTGTGGTTGGTAACTGATAAATTTATTAGCTAACAAACATGCGTAAACAAGTTTATCTTGACCTTGTTAAGGGTATTAAAGTCTTTGTGTGAATGTTTAGTCTGCTTAGGATAAAAAAAAAATAAAGTGGGAGGAACACACACACAAATACATAACAATAATTCATCACAATAATCATTATCTCCTTCAGTGCCAGTCATGGACTTGTTAACCCTGCTCTCCAAATTACTATCCTTCTGTAAATAAAATCACTGATATGGAAATTGTAGCTGACCTTAGTGGATACTGTCGCTATGTGCAGGAAAACAAAGCAGTTTTTATTTCCATACATAGAGACCCTTCCTCCAAAAACATCCTCATTGGCTCGGGCTCCATATCAGACAGTCTGTCGGGGGCCCTCAAGGGTCCTCTTACATACCCCCTCTAGCAGGCTGAATTACCCCTGACCAATTTACCCATCGGCAGTGTGCCAGAATAGCAATGACTACAGTTGTGTGTTTATTTATGAAGTTCTCCCCTTCAGGTTTTGGAATAAAACTTGCATAAGTTTTCCTGTTTCTGGTTTGCATCATGTTTATTGGCTTCTGTGGTTCCATGAAGAACCTTTACCATTCATGGAACCTTTCGATTCCACAAAAGGTTCCTTGCAGTAAATGAAGGTTCTGTAGAGTATTAAAATGTTCTTTGCACTTGGAAAAATTTGTTTTGAGAACTTCACTGAAAGAAAAACGGTTCATCGCTGTAAAACCCCCCTTTTGAAATGTTATTTTTTAAAGAGTGTATCTATATCTTCTGTAGGCAGAACATAAAAGACCAGTGGTTCTCAATCATCGACCGGCACTGCACATTGTGGATGTCTCCCTTATCTACTACACCTGATCCAACTCATCAGCTCATTAGTAGAGGCTCCACGAACTGAACTGGGTGAATCAGATAAGAAAGACAAATGTCCAGTGCTGTGATACTAAAGGATCAGTAGCTGGTACTGAGTACTGTAACACAGTGTTCTCTACTTAAGTTCTCAAAACTAAACTGAATAAAGAATTCTAAATTCACAGTCACAGCTACAGAAAGAATGCAAAAAAAAAATATATATATATATAATAATAATATCTTGTATGAAACTGCTACAGGGCTCTCCAACCTGCAGAGAAAGCACGTGTGTCGCGTCCTCTGCGCGCTCTCTAGTGGGGAACCTTTCTCTCATACTAGTTTTAACTTGTCAGTATGTCAGTTACTAGTCCGCTATTAATTTAAAGTCACGTTTAAAATATTCTTAAACAGGACGAGAAACTGTTTTTCCCTCTAAAATCCACACAGCAGTGATGTTGATGGTCCATCCGTGTCCAGTCGCACTGTTTTGCTGGAGCGTGATTGGTCCAGATTCACGAGCTTTTGTTCGCGTGCTGCACCTCTTGAGCTCGTGCTGTCATGCACACCTGCGGAACACTCGCGCGCACCGCTAATATGCCAGTCTGTGTTTCACACTCAGGAGAAAAGAGAACAACTTGACCAGTTAGTCTGGATATAAAGATAAGCCAACTCAGAAAAGCTTCCTCTGGATGTGATTTCAGACATTAAAAGGTGTGCCAAACTGAAAGACATGAAGACGGATGAAGACGGTAAAGACATGAGGGGAGTGACTGTTAACCGCTTTGCTGAAGGTAAGAATATTTGTATCGACACGGACAAGGTGAGAAACTTAATGAAAATACAGTATTTAAGGAAATATGCTTGTGATAGTAGTTGTAAGAGTTTTAATGTTCAAAATACAAGTTTATGTTTTTGTGGTAAACCTGAAAGTCCTGCTGAATGTCGCGTAATTTGAATATACTTCACCGCAAAAAACAACAAATGTTTGTTTTCTAGTCTTGAACAGATGCCATTCTCCAAAAAACCTTAACAAACATTACCATGGCAACCATAGTTTTGCTACGGCTACTTACATTACTGTAAAGCCATATTAATTTAATATTGGACGAACATCAAACAGAACGACCTTTTCGTTGAAGAAACTTGCTGTCATTTTATCAGTGTTTAGGCCTATATGTATTTTTTGCTGATATTTAATCACACTTGTGTTGTTGTAAAGTCACAATAATTGTAACAATGTTATTATGGTATGGTTACCATGGTAATTTTTGAAAGAGATTGGATTTTCCAGAAATCCAAACTCTAGCCTTCATTATCACTGCCACAGTCACATTATCTAGTCCTGTTATTCAAGACAAGCACAAGGCCAAAGACCGCAGAAGTGATAACTACTGCACAACCTGACTAACCATGATAAATATGGTTCATTTATAAATTATTTTATAAAGGTATTTATTATGCAAATCTGTTAATATTTCGCCTAATATGATATCCATGCAGTTATTTGGCCAGGTACTGCAGTAGCACTTTCGCAAAAAAGACAATTCTGTAGAACTCGGAAATCTGATCTTATTGTCTGCTAAATTTTTTTGATGAACAGTTTAGTCATAAATAATTCTGGATGTATTAACACATTTAAATGGAAAATGTTTAAGAACAATGATTTTGTATCAGCATAATTACCTTTTTCTTCATGATTAAGCTGTATTTTCTGTTCCCTATCAAGACTGACACAATAAAGAATGGATGAGTGTCTCAATAGTTCGCTATACAATAGAGCTGCACATAAGCTGCCTGGGCTCATGCTCTTAGGGTAATGAGGGAAAGAAGACTGCTGGATAAAATTCATCTTTTTATTCTGCTGTCTTTCAGCTGTTAGTCTCACAAAGTCAAAAGTTATCAGGCTGTCTGATCAACGAGGATACCCTGTTTATTAATCTATACAAAACATTTAGAAAGCCTATTTTTAAAGCATCATTGCACATCCATAAGAATCAGCATCCACCACAGCAGTGGTGCCATTTCAGACTCTCATTCGCCTGACAAAAATCAGAAAGTTCCCTTAGTAGTCGTGTAGACATAACATGCTTTCTCCCACATATTTTCTTGTCCTTGGAGCTCATGAAGTACTGCAAGTGTGAGGTAACTCAGAATTTTTGTTGCACACTTTGTTATTGTATTATCTTAGGTATTAAAGATTGCTCCATTCTAACATCTTTCATATTTGTTCTAGATGTCTAGGTATTATGATATAAATTCATTCCAAATCTCACTGTGAATGCACGTGCATGCTCTCTCACAAGCACGTGCCCATGCACTCACAAAGACACACATACTCTCACTGATACATTACTTACATTAGGTGAGGGTCCAGGGGAAGGAAGCTCCACCCTTTGTTGTTCACTCAGTTTGACTGTTGGCTCTTCCTGGAGATACAATATAACTCTGTGTTCTTGAATGTGTGTGTGTGTGTCTGTGAAGCAAACCCCAAAAGACCTGGTGTTTACATGGCTCGACCTTAATGCTTGTAGCAAAGAAAGAATTTGAACAAATTAAACTTTGAAAAAAGTTATTCAATCTGACAACTCAATTCAGCCTATAAAAATACCCATTTTGACATCATGTTACTGCATTTGCAGGGCATAGTAATATTTCAGTAGGCTGGGTTCCAGTGTGAATGCAAAGTGGACTGAGACCCAGTAAGAATGAAAAGTGAACTCAGTCACGTTCATATTTCAGTTTAAAGTCAGCATGAAATGAAAATTCACTTAATAATTGTTTTAATGCAGCTTATTGATCTTATTGTGAACAGTTCATTGATGTTTTGTTTTTTTATTGACTTTGGAATTCTTAATTAAAATGTCATAACTGGATCTTCCTGTGAAATAACAAACTTCACTTTGTTGATGTATACCTGACTTCTCAATTCATTTTGTTCTCTTAAACTCCACCCCTTTCTCAGAATTGACCTCAAGCTCGCATTCAGATCTTCCTCCATCCAATCAACAAAGAAAGTATAGACCTATGTCCCCCTACAATTTTCTTTTTTAAATCCATTTCACTAAGATATGCTCACAATACGCAGAAAAAGATCCTCACTACTTCTGTTTCAAAAATAGCAGTGAAAGGACTCGGGTCTGAACAATAAAGTTTTTTTTTTTTGACTGCAGTAGTTCTGCAGTACAGGTTTACACACACACACACACACACACACACACACATTCCTGAAGATTTATTTTTTATTTTATTTTTTGCCAAAACCTCATCTGTGTCTGGCTGCATGATAATTAGATGAATATCATAATAAACATAATTTGTAAAAAAAAAAATATATAGAATACGTCACAGAAAACCAAACATACATGTTTGCAAGCCATAAAATTAATGTTGTACTGTAGATTAATAAAAAAAAATTATTTTCAGTTGTGGCGGTTTTGAATCTCTTGAGTCTTGAATCTTGTTGACCTGTGCTGCAAAAATACCTTGTGTATAATTTTAGATCACTATATAGCTGACTACATATTTCTTATGCCTTTTGCTAATAATTGGAATTAACAGAAACTGTTCTGGGAGTAAATGATTAGATTTATTTATCTGAAAACCAATGACTTGTGTTTGTGATGTGAATAGATAGCTCAGGAGCTCAAAAAAATGGTATGTGACGTTTTGGGGTTGTACCTCTTGGCTTAAAGTGTTACAGTCAGCAGTCACAACCCATAAATCTCCAATACCCATTGTTTGTCCAGAAAGACAACAAAACATTTCCTGTGAAGCTTATGATCTGACTATCACAGTCAAACACAGATAGGAAGTGAGGTCTAGGGCACACAAGTGACAGCACAAAGTATTAATTAAATGTGTGTGTGTTTCGGAGACGGCTCCAAAGAGTCATTGTATAAGGTAGTTGTTTAGACCTCTAACAGCCACACAGGGCACTAGGGGGCAGTGTGTCACCCAGAACCCTCTGCTTTGCTGTAGGGATCTCTTTCTGTTGGCCAATGCACATTGCGTCCCTAATCTAGCCGAAATATTTCGCTGTGCGGTATGTGTGTTTGTCTGACACCTCCGGACAACTCTGCTGAACTCAAGGACAATAGCAAGGTCAGAGATTGACCTCACTCTGTACGCACAGCATCCTGTGCCCACATCAGGATTTAACCCTTCACACCCCACATACACCACATCTCTTTAAAATCAGTCAGACTATGATTGTGAGGTAGGATATTTCAGTAGTGTCGTTATGTTAAAAGCTTGGACTCGTCGATGGCTGAATCAAATGCTTAGCATGTCATATTGTGGGAGGTACTTGGTTTGACCATAACAGAATAGTTTAAAGGGGTCATATGCTGTTGCTAAAAAGAACATTATTTTGTGTATTTGGTGTAATGAAATGTGTTTATGCAGTTTAAGGTTAAAAAAAAACATTATTTTCCACATACTGTTAGGCCTGTCGCAATAATCAATATATTGACTTATCGCGCAATATATGTACATGACCTCAATCATTTTTGGTGATGCAATGTATCGCCCATTATATTTACTTAAAAATTTATGTCACCATGTTTTGTACATTCCACTTGTGCCTGTGTCTTTTGCAGCTTCTTGTACATAACGTGGTGTAGTCTTGTGGTGCTAGTTCACATTTAAAAAATGCTTCTTGTTGTTTGTTTCATCTGCAGATATGGCCTTGTTTAGGGATCTGTGTCTGTGCATACGGACATCTGACTGCTGAGTAGTGATTGTGTTTTTCAGCAATAGTGTGCACCTTTAACTTACAGAGAAAAGAAGGTCAGGGAAAAATCTGTAGATGGAAAAATCTCCATACAAGTTCTTTGAGCATTTTTCTTTTTTTCTACTTGTTACTTTGCACTTTTTGTTAGAAAATGTTTATTTACTATTTATTCAGATTTTTTAAGGTATCTAATATTTTGATACTTAATTTCCATGATCTAAACATTCTTAAAAATTAAAACTGTGTTGTCATTTGGAAGTGTGTAGGTCTTCTTGCATTATTATGCTGTTACATTATGATTATATATTCAGTGGCATAAAATGGTCTTTAAAATGACAATAATATCGCTTATCGCAATTATTTCTGGGGCAATATATCGCACAACAAAAAGTTGTTATCGTGACAGGCCTAGCCCTCAATGCAACTGAGAGAATCTACTAAGCCAGTTATATAAACCTTGCAACAAGCAAGTTCATGTTATAGAAAACCACAGAAACCAAAAAAACATCCCTTTTTTACATAAGTACTAATCAAAATTAATTATATAGCATATAATCCTCCCTATGGATTTTGTATTTAGTCACCAAAAGTTCATTTTATTTTAGAGCATTCACTACTTTCCTTAGCTTTAGACAGCAGGCAGTGAAAGGGAACTATGTGGTTGGGTGAGACAAAAGAGGGGCAATGAGATGAAGATCAGACTCAAACCTGAGTCACCCAAACGTACAGCATGGCTGTACAGGATGGGAACACTAAAGACTTATTACACAAGCAACTAAATTACCTTGTCAGGTTTCTCCTCGATGACATCTGGACTGCAGAACATCTCAGCCAGTGCCACACGAAGTAAGGAATCAAACAGAGGAACTGCTAGTTCAGAATTCACAACTCCAGATCGAGAGAGTTGATCCCGGACCTCACACAGCGTCTCCTCCACAGACTGCAGCTATGGGATAGAGCGTGGGAAAATTACACTCTTCGAGAATGAGAACAGGACATAGTCACTCACTTCAAAACGGCAACCAATAGCTCTGTTTCAAAACCTAGCGTGCCTACACT